TGTGTGTGTGTGTGTGTGTGTGTGTTTGATGTGTGTGATGAGGGTGATGAGTAGGGTCACCTATATGTCTGGCCAGGTACATGTATAAACAAGTTATATCTAATACAATACCACGTACCACTCACCACTCACTCAATCAATCAATCACACACTAATCATTGGTTGATAAGTGATAAATGTACTCTCCAAAGAGTCATGTGATCAGTGACAATGTATACAGCTAGGCACCCTAACGAGGGGCATCACATTAACAACAACAACAACAACAATGTTATTTACCTATAAAGTACAGATTACCTTATAACACTCTTGTCATTTATTCATTCATTCATCAACTCAACAGAGTGCAACAACAACAGCAACAACACCAACACTAACAACATCGCAACAACAACAACAACAACATCGCAACAGGAGCAACGACAACAACATCACACAACAAACTATTACACGTCCTTCACAACCTCCATCCATCCATCCCTTCACCCACCACCAATAATCAATCAACCAACCTTATATCTCCGCGTATCAATCAATCACTCAATATCACTCCATCACATCACAATCACATAAACTTATTTATTTATTTATATATCTATCTATTTATCTCTAATATATTTATTATTCCCATTAATTTATTATTATCAAGTGTATGGTCATCAAAAATTAATTTAAATAATTCCAGGGAAACTGGAAACTCAAAGGTCAATCAAACTAACTCACACACTCACACATCAAATTAGTTTAGCGCAATCAATCAATCAATCAAACATACATAAATACTATATTATATTATGGACAAGGGATACTTGGATCAACAACAGCAACAGCAACAGCAACAGTTACAGCTTCAACAAACACAGTTACAGTCACAATCACAACAACAACAACAGGGACCATGTTTGACAACGATGACTACAAAGACAACGACAACAACAACTACTACAACTATAACAGAACATAATTTCTTGGTGCCAGAGTTACAACATTTGGTCATATCGCCACGACTCGAGTCGGCATCTGCCGCCGCCATCCAGATCACATCAGCCGCAGCCACTTCCACCACGCCATCAATATACATGTTGGAGAACAATACACCAATAATCAAAGATAATACAACTGGATCATCATCTGGCGCATCATCATCAAGTAATAATAATAATAATAATGATGATGAATATAATATATTGGATAAACAACATCAACAATTGATAAAGAAGATGTTGACGGCGATGGCTACAACATCACAACAGCAACAGACGACGCCATCACTGTCACCTCCAAGTCCACCAATGATCATTGATGAGTGCCAGTTGGAGTTGAGTGGCGTCCTTGGAAGACAGCCCCTCGCATCATCACCGCCAGCCGACACAACCACACCACTGGAGCGAGCATTAATATCATCATCTGGCGGCGCAAACACTTTTGAATTGGCCACCACCGCGCCACTCACTCAAACATCACCGTCATCATCGACGCCACCACTATCACGCGCTAACTCTACCAATGCCGCGACAGTGCCAATCATTCGCGCGCGTGTCCAGAGACCAATCCGCCAAAAGTCACCGGCGTCAATTGGCGAGCGACCATTGCTACACGCGGTGTTGGTGCAGGAGGAGATCAAGACTTTGATCAATCAGGAGGACATCAATGCTCGCGACGCCAATGGCAACAGCATCCTACATCGCGTGGCCATCATTGGATCGATGTTGGCCATTCGCCACATTGTATTGCGCGGTGCACGCGTCAACTCTGTCAACAACAGCGGTCTCACCCCGCTGCACTATGCCGCCTGCGCCAATCCACAGAGCGTGGAGGTGTTGCTCTACTATGGCTCACTTCCCAACATCAAGGACAACAACAAGGAGACCCCACTGTTCTTTGCCGTGGACCGCGGACAGACGGCCATTGTCTCGCTTTTGCTGTCGCGAGGCGCCAAGGTCACGACGACCAACCGGTCGATGCAGCGCAGTGCCATTCACGTGGCGGCCATCAAAGGATTCTCCAACATCTTGCGACTCTTGCTGGACTACAAGTGCAACATCAATGAGATTGACGTGGGCGGATCGACGCCACTGCACCTCACGATCTACAACAGCCCCACGTACCAAAGCCTGCTTAGTTCGATCAACTACTGCCACAGCGCCATGAACAGTATCGACGCATACATGTCATGTTGCGAGCTGTTGTTGCAGCGCGGCGCTATCATCACCGCGCAGGACACTCAGGGCTACACGCCTCTGCACATTGCCAGTCGCCAAGGAAAGAAGAACTTCATCGATCTGCTCCTATTCTATTGCAAGCAACAGAAGAACAAAGCGACCCAGCCACTGAGTGGCGTCAACTCGTCGTCCAGCAGCAAGCTGAGGAAGGAACTCAAGTCCGAGATTGTGCTCTACATCCCAGACAACAAGGGTCGTATCCCATTGCACGCCGCTGCCATTGGTGGCCACTCGCGTGTCCTCGAGTGTCTGGTGGGCACTGGTCGCAAGTGCACCACGGTCACTGACGACATGGGCATGACACCACTGTGTCTGGCTTCAATGTTTGGACACTTTGACTGTGTCGAGTACCTTTACAATCTCGTGGACATCTATCATGGCCACGGACACGCCAAGTTAACCGGTCCCAGCCAAGCTGGTCGCTCGCTCTTTGACAACGCCAAGTCTCCTGTCGACCCCCTGGGCAGTGACTTCCGCTTCGCCTTGGATGGCGACTACTGCGACCTCGTGTTCCTGGTCGAAGGCCGCGACATCTTTGCTCACTCTGTCATTCTGCGACAATACAAGTTGTTCCGCGACATGATCCGCCATCAGAAGTTGTCTGGCCAGTTGCCGCCACTCTACGCGCCAACCGCCCAATCACACATGAATCCATGCGCCGCCACCACTGGCAGCTACTATGGTGGCCAGTTCGGAGGCACCTACGGCTCACAGTACAGTTACAACAGCTTCGACGCTTCGTCCTACCACGCCTTCCACATGGCCAGCATCAACGAGTATGATGACGAGTTTGACTATAACTCGGGCGGTCGCGTGCGAAGCGACACCATGGGTGGCGGAGGCGGCCGCACACGCTCGAGAATGAACAGTGTGGTCAACCCCAACTGTCTGATGCGCATACCCGTGGAGAAGGGAGTGTCCTACGACATCTTCCGCGCGGTCCTCCAGTTCGCCTACACGTGCGAGATCCCTCGCGAGACCATCAACACGAGCGGCAAGTTAAGCGAGCTGCTCGAGTTTGCCAATCAGTGCGACCTCGAGGTGCTGAGCAACCTTTGCATTGATACGATGTCGCAGCACTCCAACGGTCGTCTGGGCACGCTTGAGATGTCCAAGTACCTGCTCAAGCAGATCAACTCGAGACAGTCGGCAGACGTCGCGATAGTGTTTGATGGCGGCCAGGTCGCCCACGCGCACTCTGTCGTTCTCGCCAACCGCTGCACATTCTTCAAGTTACACTTTGAGTCATATCCAGTCAACTCGAGATCGTCCATCGCACTCTTCCCGGCCGGCTCACTCACCAACAGTGTGGCGGGCGGCTTGCTCAGCAGCTCCCTGTCCTCGTCGTACGCCGGCGGTCTGGGCACCACCAGTCCCATGCGTCGCCTGTCATGTCCCTCGTCGCCGGCACTGAGCGACATTCAGACAGCCAGTTGGGTGATCGACATTGGCGATGCTAGCTACAAGGCAGTCATGGTGATGCTCGAGTACATCTATGGAGGTTGCATACCCTCGGCTAACAGCGCCTTCCAGGCTGGACCAACATCCGCGCCATCGCCAGCATCAGACGCATCTATGGACGTCATTGACATTATGCTGTTGTCCAAGCTGGCATACACACTGAACCTGCCCGTACTGCAGCAGTACAGCTCAGTGCTACTCTACAGCATACTGGATCCAAGCAAGTTGGTGACGATCATCAAGACGATATACTCATTCGATGGCAATGTGGGCTGGGGCAGGACACCATCACTCGAGTCCATCTGGGGCATATGCCTAGAGTGGCTCGTCAAGAGATGCAATTGGAATGAGATGATGCGCTATGAGCCATTCCTGCAACTTGGCGCCAAGTTCATCAAGGACGTCAAGAAGGAGAGGAAGGAGAAGAAGAAGAAGCAGAAGTTGACCGAGAAGCATCTGTTGGGCAGTGCAAAGTTCAACAACGTACCATCAACATTGCCACCAATGCCTACATCTTCGTCATCGTCACAATCACAGTCGAACATACCCACCGTCCAAGAGAGTCCCCGCAAGAAGGAGGACAAGCCATGGCTGCGCAATCCCAAGATGTTCCTGCGTACAGTGTCCGCGGGCAAGTTGTACCCCAACGTTGGCAACAACAATGGTGCATCAAACTCAGCACCCTCATCACCATCATTGTCACCACAGCCATCGATCGTCATGCTCCAGTCTCAGTCGTCCCAGTCATCGTCGTCACAGTCGTCACAGTCTCCGCCAAACTCGCCACCAAAGTCGCAACCGGACAATTCTCCACCTTCCAACTCACCACCTCAGTCGCCTCCAAGCAATCGACCACCCAAGTTACAGAAGCGCAACAGTCTGTCGCAGATACTGCAGTCCAAGAAGACGTTCTTCACATCACTCACCGCGGCCAATCGCGAGGCTGGCAAGAAGAGTCCTCCAAACAGGTCCAAATCATTCGCAATGTAGTTTTCCATTTGACTACACACATCCATCCGTCCGTACACATTCGGATAATAATAAACTTAATTGTGGTCTTTTCACGATAATGTACATCATCGTCAAGTCAACCGAAACTATTGTTGTTCCCTCTACAATGATATAAAAGGAAATTACTATTTTAGGAAATCTATTCTTCTTGGACTATTTTGGAGATAAACTTTTTCCTAGGAAAAAGTTTGGGGGTGTTTGGTCGATGTGTGGATCGAAGATATATCCTCTTACAAAGATATAACCTATTAATAAAAGTAATAGTGTACACTATGTACCTACTCATCTATTCTTCTAGAATAAATTAATGTATTTTACAACTTATAAATCAAACAAATAATAATTAATATATATATATATTTATTTATAACAATAAAATGTTTTTACCATTTATTATTATACCAATTGGAACAACTGGAAAGAATAAGATAATTGACAATGTTATGAGAGTTGTAAGTATAATTATAAATAATTTATCAATCAATCAATATTAATTCAAATAATATTAGTGTCCAAATTGTCATTTACAATCAGTTCAATTAGTCAGGAATGATTCATGGGGATCATTATTCTTTATACCAGTTGTAAAGATAAAGTCTGGACAACCATACTTGCATTGTTCAGCATGTGGTGCGACAATCCCATACTTTGAGGGACCTGGTGAGTTTGAGTATGAGAAGGAGGCAGCTCAGAAACAAAAGAAGAAGAGAAGTATATTTCATCGAAAGGGCAAGGATGAGGTGGAGCCAGAGTATCAGCAACAACAAGGTGGTGGTGGTAGTGGAATGCATGCACCTCAACAACAACAACAATACAATCCTTATGATACACAAATATATCAACAACACTTCCAACAACAACAGGAGTATTACCAACAACAACATGGTGGAGAATACAATCGATATGATACTCAACAGCATTCATCAACAGCAACACACCCCGGTTCAGACAGCAACATAGAGGATACTTATCATCAAGGTTATCTACAATAAACCTTTATGTTGTATAACTTGTATATAGCATTTAGCAGCTCATAGTCTATCTCTAAATGGATTTGAATAATTGAGATGGTATAGTTCCTAACACTTTATTAAATGATGGTTAGACAACATGGCGGTAGCTTAGAGACAGAAGTCAGAGTGCAGGGCGGCAGAGGTCAGAATGGGTGAGCATCAAAGAGAAAGTGGTCAGCACTTGGGGCGAAGTCCTCTCGGTATCATAGCGGGAGACGGAGCTTCTGGGCTGGCGGCAAACAGTCTAGATGCGGAAAGAGGTTCAGGGCAGATCATCATAGATGCAGAATGGCGGCGCAGCATGTCTAGCTGGAGACATAGGTTCGGGGCAGAGGTCGTTCAGCATTTCGCCACCACATATGTTCACACAGAGCAGCATGACGGTAGTGTTCACACAGCAGGCGGCAGAGGTCAAGTAGAATGGCGGCAGAAGTCGGACAGCAAGCAGGCAGAGTTCAACACGGCGGCAGAGGTCAGGCAGCATGGCGGTAGGACAGCAGAGGTCAGAGAGCATGACGGCAGAGGTCAGCGAAGGTGGCGGCACACGGCGGTCAACAGCATGGCGACAGAGGTTCGGGTCTACAAGGTATCAAAGGTTCAAGACATGTGTATGTATGTATATAAAAGTAAGAGAGAGATAAGAATGAATGAATCAATGAGAGAGGGCTTCGTATTTATAGCTGTCTATGTCGCACCATAAGTGTCACGCACCATTCATCCAACCATCATTGACGGATTTTAAAACCCAGCCGTTATTAATCCTGGTTACCGCGACAATTTCAAATTCAAATCCCGTAAACTGACACCCACTCATAGATGAAGTTCGAAAGTGGTTTGAAACAGCTGGAGTGATTGCCCCTTCCACTTCGCTGTGAAGGTGGTCGTCTCTCCTTCAAATAGGTTGAACTCCGATCGGAGTCTCTCGTCACCTCAAACAAAGTCAAAGGCGTTGACTATACACGCGTAAGTTATATTGTGCTTGGTCACTAGGTTTATACTTCATCTCCGATCTGACACTGCATTGTGATCAACACAGGAAATCGACGGCTCCTCAACCTACGCCCTATTTGAAGGAGAGACGCCCATTCGAGCCGGTGCCACCCACGACAAGGGCGCTGATCTTCAAGCATGTCAATGCAGTTGGAGAAGATCATCTCACGTGGAAGGAGGCCACCAAGCCTACCAAGTGAGTAGAAGTACCATCCAGCGCATTAACAAACACGCTGATTATCTCTTTGATTGCCCGGCGGGGTACCCCAAAGTGTGGTATTGAGCAGAACATACAAATAAACATTGAGATCATACACAGAATAAGTGATACATTTATTGATAAGTGTGTTTGTAGTTAAGTCTAATAATGTATGTGAGAGAGCCTATGTTGATACTTCTCGCTACTCATTGATATCAACAATGTCGAGCAATCAGTAATCTCAAACTGCACCATCAATAATAACATTAATATACGTATAGGTGGCACGACAACATTGATTGAGAATGGTGGATCATTGTTGAAAAAGGATATATACTTTGATGGTAACTCCAACATGTCATACTTGTCAATGTCAACATGACCATCGTGCGAACATCCCTGACCAACAACTCGATCAAGAATGGACAACTCGTCTATGGATTCTTCAGCATCGTATCAAAGACCAACTGCACATTGTCCGACAACATGTTTGTTGGCTCCAATCTCATGCGCATGACCGCATATATTGTATGGCTGGGCAGTCCAAGGATTGTTCAGCGTGAGGGAGATGGACAACTTCGATGGCACTCAACCGCCACCAAAGAGGAGAGGGAGGGCTCCACTTATTCAAACACCGATGCTCTGCCACCTTCTTGACGTGATCGAGAAGAATCCGATCTACACGCTTTCGAACTTGGCATGCCAATTGTTGTGCAACTGAGCTAAGCGAGAAATTCAACATCCAAGTTGGTGAAGGTGCTGTCGGCAAGGCGCTCAAGCAGATGAACTTCACATGGAAGTCGTGCCTCAACATCCCGTCAACCTGGAACACACCTACCACCATCAACTAGAGGGCGATCTACGCCAACGAGATCTGCACACCTGCCCAACTCAACCGCCCCAAGGTCTACATTGATGAGACTGGCTTCAATTTGGAGAACAAGAGGACCAAGGGTCGTGCTCCATTGGGCCAGTTCCCCGTTGTCACCGTGCACCTGAGAGGTCCAGGAGGCTGTCTGTAATCATCGCTGTGGGTGACACTGGTGTGGTCCACCACAAGATAATCGGGTCGACCCTGAAGAAGACAGGAACCAATGCCGAGGATTTCTCGGCGTTCTTGCTGGAGCTGATGGCGAAGGTCTATCCCAACACACGCTTGATCACGGACAATGCGAAGATTCACCACGCTACTCTACTCGGACACTGGCCAAGTGCAAGAACATCGAGCCCCTCTACCTTCCCCCCTACTCGCCGTTCATCAACCCAGTCGAGTATGTCATTCAGCTCGGGAAGTGTTGGTGGCATACACCTTCAAAAGTCAGTCATCGTTCAGCAGATGGTCTGGGGAAGCACCAGTATGCACCATAAAAATATGGAACGCGTTAGCCAGCTAACCGATGGAGTTGGTACTGGGTGGCCAAGATGTACTGTTCAATCCAGCACCTCAATGCACGCATTGATCACATTTCAACATCCATCGACCTCATTTCAAAGTTCACAAAGATCCAACGACGACAGGACCAAACAAAGGACTGTCGAGAGAAACGAAGAGTATGTACACACATTTACTCATCCAATTGATTGATTGAGTTTCATTGATGACTAACCTGGGGCGTGGCAGACTTACTAAATAGAGTTGAAGGGCAAGAGCTCCCCAAATAACACAGCAACATCCAACTGTGGTAATGGGTGGCCAAACTTCGTTTGACTATGGTAACTCATAGATCGTTAGTCGAGAGTCGCATCACCATCAATGAATCCTCAAAGCTTTAGGACTGTGCACAACATTTTGTATGATTAGACAGCATTGGTGACGGAAAGGAGGTCCACCAACATCAGTGAGGACAATGGCTAGACATCAATCGGGAAAGGCACCATGTATCGCATCACAAAGGCAAACACATTTAGTCAACATGGCGCCAGTGAGAGAGACAATCTTGCGAGCAGGTACCAGTCCATCAAATATTGTTTCACGCAGCGCGTTAAAAACATTGGATCAAACCTGTCTAATAGGGTGTGTAGGAGCTGGAATGGCTAGTCAGTCAGTCAGTCAATCAGGCAGGTCGGTCACATCAAGGTCGAGCACATTAGTTCTCTATCACCAGTTGGGATTGATGAACAAGACGCTAGGTCAACATCGATTACAGGCAAACATATCAAGACAAAACCTGGCGAACTCCAATCAAGCGACATGTATCACCATTGACCATTCATACAACACCTACCCAGTCAGTCAGTCATTCAATCAGTAGTCTGTCCCAGCAAAATAGAACATAGGATCAACCCTCAGCCCATATTGGATGCTGTGACCTCATTCAATCGATTAATCAAACATACATAAACAGGTGGACAGACAGTTAGAGACATTGAGACAGACAAACAGACAGAACACCGATAACATGCAAGCTCATCAAGATCACAATGGACATCAGAGCAGTCTCTTACAACAAAGCTCATTCATTCATTCATTCATTCATCAGAGTATCCAGTTGGAACGATCGTGCCTCAATCAAGGCTCATCAACGTGAACTTCATTGATGATGACACTGAGATGGTATTGAGTGATACAAATTCAAATGGACCGTTAAATGGTCAATCTGTTAATTAAATATATTTAAATATTTAATTCAAAATGTGTCTTTATAAGTGTGTGTGAGGTGTGTGTGAGTGTGTGTGTCTAGTAACCCACTCACACTCTCTCTCATTGAGGTGAATGTCCTTGGACAAGTGGGCATTGACATCACTCATTACCTTATCACTCTACTACATGTATGTACACATATATAACATTATTACTATGTTATTATAATTCTAACATTCTAATTCATAATACTAACATTGATTCTCTCTCTACTCACCAACAATTCATAAATCAATCAATCAATCTATCATATCAATATCATTAATATCATAGACTCTTTACTTCGGCTATTGCCAAACCATTATCTGCTATACAAGAATATCTTTCTCAACAGTGTTTTCCAACGCTACCAATCAATCAATCTATCAATAATGAATAATAATAATAATAATAATAATAATCAATATATATACAATCCAGCCAAACTCATTCGACCTTTGTTCAACAGGCACATACCCAAGAACTTGTTGCTGGCCGACTTAAATCACAGAGTCATCACTCTAATAAGGATAGACTTTGACAAAAAAACAGCAGTCATCAAAATGTATCCAATTCTAAGTTTATTCGATAGTCGACCAAGGACATTGTTATTGGGCGAGGAATCTTCTAAAAAGGTGATTTATACACTTCTTGTGCGCACTGATGGAGTCCATGATCCAATTAGGATAACATATACACCACTCAATGAGATCCATCAAACTCTATTCGTTGGGAGGACAAACTTACCAGAGAACAACCAGTTGCCAGATCATCCCAATGGTCAACAGGAACCAATTCCAAATGGTAAGTATATATCAAATGAACTTGCATGCTACCGTCAAAAAATAATACTAACCATCCATTCAATCATCACCTTTGATGCTTCTCATCCATGTCCCGAAAGACATTGGCATCCAACAACAGCCACATGACCTCGGACCAATACCTGGAGACCAAGTGATGATGCCACAACCACCTATACCATTCAATCATCCAGCGGTCCAAGCAGACCCAGGCCAACCCCACCTAGGAATCAGATACCAATACCCACCATCACCAGATTATGAGGTGGATGAGCCTGTCCTATCTCCTCGGGTCCCTCTCCTTTTCAACAAACAGTAATTCACCACTATATATATTGCCGTCGATCAAGCAGATGAGTGATGGGTATAACCCAAATATCTCTCGGCTGGCGATTGAAACCAATCAACCACCAACAACCAACAACAACATCAAAGTCGAGTTACCAACCCACCAATCAGTGTTCCTACATCCATCACCCGAACCCAGATGACACAGTGGAGACGTTGTGATTCATTCACACGATGACCTGTCGTTGCGAGGTCTATTCCCTCCAAGTCATCCAGTGCCGTGCCAGTGCCGTGCCAGACCGTGTGCCATTCCGCCGAGCCAAGCCAGGCCAAGCCCAGGTGGACCTTTCCAGGACCCGATCCAATCGACACCTTTTCAGGTGAGATCATTAGAGATACACACAGTGAAAGAGTAAGTACACCAACGCACAACAATCAAGTCCCCAAAAGGGCGAATACTACTAACATAACTTCTTCAATCATGGTGGCGTTGGCAACGACGTCACCACCAT